AGATATTGTTATTTCTTTTAATGGTGCGTGTGCATTCAATGTCTCTCTCATATTCAATACCAATCTCTCTGAAGCTATGTTAATATCTATATAGTTGTTATCCCAATTTTTGTTTATTAGTTCCAGTTGGTACTCTGTATCATTAAATGTTGAGAAATCTCTTATCATCTTTTTGTGCAGTTTGGGTTTTGGTTTTTTTAGTAGGTCTACTATCAAAATAGCATGGTCTGTTATCTTGGGTGTTAAATGAATATCATAAGTGGTATTTCTTGTATCAGTGACTATCAAATCGATCATTGTGCCCCCTTGTCTTGTGACTCTTGTGAATTTATTGACATGTTGGTAAGCTCCCAAGGTTGTTATCATGTTTTCCAATCCTTTTGAATAACATGTATCAATTGCCATATTTATATTGAAGTCTCCAATAAGGATGAAATTCCCTTCCTTGGACAGCATGTTTTGTAGAATTTCATCCATATTTTCTAGAAATGTTGCGTGACTAGCATTAGGCGAATGATATACACATAAAACATTGTATTTGAAAGTATCTATTACTGCCTCTATTCCTATTACCCACATATTTGAATCAATAACAATGCTGAGTATTTGTTTTGTTTTTATTTCCTCTTTTATATAGATCATACTGCCGCCTGTATGCCTACTTTTACAATATGCACTGAAGTATCTGTATCCTTCTATAAGTTTTTCATTTTCTTGTATATCTTTTGTTACATGACTTTCAGATAAGCATACAATTACCGGTTTCCATTGATTGATCAACCAATTTAGCTCTACTTTATGTGCAAGAAGACTTTGTATATTTAGATACAATATTTGAGGCGCTGTTCGTTGCTATACATTATTTTTGCTATATAAATCTGGATAGTTGTGTTTCTTCTGTAATTGGGTAAAAATTCTTTTGTAAAACTCACATTATGCTTAAAAATTTCGAAAATTTCATAGTAGATACATCAAACGTACAAATTATTGTTAAAAGTTCTCGATTTTCTTGTCTTCAGAATAAGACACATTACATCAAAATTATTATTTTTTTATTATTTAAAAAATAAGTTTTATTTGCACTTAAGAGTGCCTAACCTTTATTAAGAAAAAATAACTCCATTTGTTTTTATTACCCGGTGTTGCAAAAGAGATGTTGTCAAATATTGGTGTTAAAATTTACATTACGTAGGTACGTTCCTTCTTTTTCGTAGAAAAAATAGTGTTCCTAACTCGTGTGGAAAGTCTCTTTTCCGCACTTGATTGCTTGCCGAACTCTGCTATGCGTCGTTCGGCAAACTGCAATCGCGTGCGGAAAAGTAGCACTTTCCGCACTAGTTAGGAAATATACTATATTGGAAATTGCATAGGGACGAAACAAATACCATACCACCACTGCGAATAATAACACAACACTCCAGCATTGAAATGACAACAGTAGTGACATCTGTCAAATATTTTTGACCAATTGTAAATGATTCCTTCATCGGATGTCGGATGCATGAAAACGTACCCTTTAGGCAATCCAAACCACGTGACATTCAAGATGGCGTGGCGACCACACATGGACCAAAAAACACAAAAATATATCTAGTTTCTGCCAGGCTTAAGAGTTTTCGTACCTAGTAAACAAATATTTCATTAAATAATCAAAATCAAAGTTACAAGCAAAACTCGAAGCAAAATAATTAAAATACGCATAAAAACATAATTATTCAAAACAAACTTGCTTGGCCGCCACGCCATATTGAATTTTTGTTTTGACAGATGGATTGGATTGCCTAGGATTGCCTAATAGATAAATGTCATCGTAAAATATACGTCAGCGTTAGCCAAAATATCATAAAATTCAAAAATCCACTCATTTTTATATACGGTAGATTCAACATTTTGTAAAAAGAAAACCAACGCAGCTAGCGAGTGCATCTTTTGCGAGCACGCAGGTAAAGTGCGACAGGTGAGTGAACCTGGAAGGAACCTGTGGAACCTGTGGAAGGAATGCGGCCATAACCCTCCTGATTGGCCCGAGATTAAATATACATATACGCGAGTCGTCGCGTCAGGGTAAACGCAATTTTCGCAATGCACCACGTCGGGGACCCGTCGCGTCGTATAGTATAGGTTTTCATCTTCCCCTCCGCTACTTCATACGTTACCAAGGTTCACTCACTTGTCGGAGTTTACAGATGTACATAGGGATATAGGGAATATATAATATATACATAATAGGGAACTTACAAGTGAAATACTTAACTGTTTTTTCGACATCTACACTTTGGTAGGATGCGCAACTTTATTCTGGCTCGTATCATCCGATGGTCAGTCCAGAGTCCAGCAGTACTTACATAAAATTCCTCTTTTTGGTTATCGTCAGTTGTGAGGGTTTAAGCATAGGCGCTGATTAGCGTAGCTTGTTGGTTGTTGCTGAGGTTTAGCCGCAGTGTCATCAGTCTTTCGCATATTCCGGATGGAAGCTCAGCAAGGTCTATAAATTCATTTTTTATGGCGGAACCCACTCCGTGAATGCGAGGTTTATTCTCTTTCTTCCCTTTCCAGAAAAACGTATAGACTCCTTTGTGCTCCTTGAGTTGACCTTCGCATGATCTCAATTACATTTGATCTATTCTGAATTTCATTTAATGCTTTCTGAATTACATTTACGGTAATTTCTGGTTCTGTGCATGTAATTTGACTTGACAGTTGAGGTTATAAGTACGCATGCGTAAATTAAGAAAATTACCTTCATTGTAAATACACACCTTCTCAGTTTCGTACGTTAATTATAATTTTCCGTACGTTAAGTTAAGTGGATGTAAATGACCTTTAACTGTTTCTCAATTACAATTAACGAAACCTGAATAGCATTTTTACTATTCTTAATTAGATTCAACCTCAGATAAACACATGAAATAGATAAGTTTATTATGATTAAAAGATGCCCCAATCATTGATTCCCATTCTAAGATCACTTGCGGACATTTACTGCAGATGTGCCATATTTATAAATTGTCCTAAGTTGCAGGGAAAAAAAAAAATATCGTAATTATAAAAACTTAGATAGGTATATGTATATACAATAGGCCCCTTGCATCAAAATTTTTTATTGCTGATTTCGATAGTCCATGAAAAATAAGTCAACACGTGTTTTTTCTTTTTCTTCTTAGTCAAAAATTGACGGAGATACAACGCTATGAAATATGCCTATGACGTCATCAGGTATAATACTTTATGACGTCGCACATGCTCAGTATATCTATATATACAAAACTTAATATTTGTATAACTTCCGAAATAATCATATTTGGGCGAAATGAAAAAAAAGTAACGATTTTTTTTCGATTTCCTACAGTTTGCAATAAACAATAATCAATTTAATTTTCCATGCAAGTACCCTATTATATACATAAAATATCGCGGTGCCTTCCAATGAATAGGAATAATTAATATATAAAATAATAATCTATTATCACAATAAAATTTGAATAAGAATTTGTGCTAGCTGAAAATGGCAACACTTCCTAAAATCTGGGAACCTGGTTGTATTCGTCTAAAACGCCCACCTGAATCGTTTTGTCTTTGTTAAGATAACCAGATAAAGAAGGATGCAAATATTATTAGAGCAAGCCCGACCATAATCGCGAATGCGCCCTAGTATTCGTAGTAAAAAATGTCAAACGGGTTTTGTTTGTAATTGGTCTGGATTGTCCGCAATCTTATCCCCACTCCATGTAGTTCATTCATTATTCCACTATTGTCGTTTAGGATTGTTGGCCGCAGAAACCAAGTGATTGTATGAATGACTTGCCCTCTCTATTTATGTAGTGTTATTCTAAGTGCGCGTTCACATTGACACCGCTCGAGCGGTGAGCGTTGCGCGATGCCGCTATAGTGATGCCCAAAAATAATTTTAACATTATATTTCAAATGAACAAGTGCACACTGGGGCGGCGTGTCGCGCGGTGTTAACATGTTCATTTGAAATATAATGTTAAAATTATTTTTGGGCATCGCTACAGCCGCATCGCGCAGCACTCACCGCTCGAGCGGTGTCAATGTGAACGCGCACTAAGGATTCAACGCTTTCTCAATTACATTTGACTATTCTCAATTACAAGTGACCCTTCCTACAATTGGAAAAGATGTAGACATAACGGACTTTTCAAGTTTATAACACTTAGGCCTGGTTTATTCATCTTCAGATAAACTTGCTGGTAACTATCTGCGAGATAAATTCACCGTTCTATTCTATTGGTCGGCGGATAACTGGCCGACCAATGGGAAATCAGATTGCGTTTTTATTCGCTAAATGCATAGGTACCTGACAGTTTATCATAATGTAAATAAATCGGCCATTATTTGAAAAAGTGTTGATAAATCCATCTATTATAGAAGTTCAGTCTCCAACTTTAAATGAAGCGCCTAAGATTTTGAGTGAAATATAAAATAAAATATTGCAACGTTACCATTTTTATCAAAACATTCTTTTGCTTTCGTTCAGCCTCTGAAAGGGCAAAGTTTCACTTCACAAGGCTTCAAAAGCAGATAAAATCAAAATGATCTATTAAACTGAAAATTTGAAAATTTCGATTAATTTCAGGCTATTTTTAAAAATAAGAAAGTGACCTTTTTCTTTTCCTAATACCAATCGAGACACCTGTGAACTAAACTTCAAAGTATTAAACGCCATTTCCGATCAATAAAATAGGTAACACTATAGATACCTACTTAATACTTTATTTGAAATTAACGAATGCAGAAAAAACCTGCACTTATACGCGATACATTATTTATTAATTAAAACATCAATAAACAAAGTCATTGATAATTTAACGTTTAACTATGCAAAATACCAACAATATCAAATTAGCCTCGTAAAAACCGCATAAAACGTCCTTGTCCTCCTGAGCTTAGCCAAGCAGTATTGTTTGTTGTAGACAATTAAAGTTATAAAAATTCCATAAAAGAGTCAAGTTGGTTTAAACTATCAGTCACTTGTTCGATTTCAGTCGATTCGTATGTTTAGGTACTAGGGCGGGAATTATTTTCTTCACAATAATAAATTTGCTTTTTCTACGGGACTTGTCGGGATCAATACTGTAGCGCGACAGAAGCCGAAAGTGAACGGTGTTTGTGTCAGAAGGGGGAAGTTTTCCCTTGAAGTGTGGTTGAATAATATTGTTGTTCGGTTAGAATATTGAAAACTTCTAAGAATTAGTGAAATTTTGTGTAATTCTGTCTTCAAGATTCGGCTCTATTTTCAGTTTCCATTTACTCCGAAATTTAAAAAATATGAAACTTTTGTTTCGTTCGTGAAAAATTAAATCGAATCTCTATTGAAAAGTATGTTTTACGATATTGTTTAATACACGGTGATTTAATTTATAGTGACATAATGAAGTTATTGCCAGTGGTTTATAATGGATTCACCTCAATGGATCGGAGGTTTTCCAGTGCCATGCTTCCATGGATTGTTTCGGAAATAAGACGACGGGATTATAACGAGAAGGTATTTTTTTCGTAGTTTATTTATAAATTTCAAGCAATGAAAATCATTCTTGTCTAAGATTGCATTTCAATGAACGCAGTGGAGTGTGCAGTCGTTCAGTTATGCTGTTTTGTTTAATGTAGGTAACTTAAAACATCTAATTGAGATTATTTACGAATTAGGTAGGTACCATATAAAAATTTTGTGTATACCTACCTACAAATGCTTCGATGGGTGAAATTCTGAGAGGTCAAAATTGGTAATAAAATAATGACAAAATAAAAATATGCATGGTATCCGACCTGTTCGCTAAAAGTAAATTTTTGCTTCAATGGAATAGGTACAGAAATTGCATTCTTTTAGCACGAGCCAAAATTGAATATTTTTCATATTGGTCTAGCCTAATATGAAAAAAATTTACAATTTCTATTCTTTTAAATATCGGAAAACTAGCTCCTTTCCTTTACTATAATTTCCATTCACCTAGGTAGGTACCTACCTACATACTTATCAAGCTCTATCTTAGGCATAGAAATGGAAATCGGTATCGATTTGAAATTTTAGGGACGTAGATTATTGATATCGATGCAAAATCTCAATTGACTATCGCTTCAAATAGATTTTCTGCTATGACCCACCTACCTAAACCTAACTTAGTCACAAAAGAATGTTTATTTTAGGTTTGACCGAGGGTTTGACGGAAAAAATTGGAGGTAGGCTCAAACTGAAACGATATTTTTATCTTCTCTCAGAAGCACAAGAGTCCTCCTACAACAAAAATTTCATTTCCGATTCAATCACTTCATTCGAAAGGTTTCGGTACATAAATGTTATTAGATTGCCCAATGGGCAAACTAATTTATTAATACACAAAAAGGTAGCTGAGGTACTCCAATGACCAACATCGAGCAAATGGAGCTTCCTTTTCAGGGTGTCCGACTTACTCTCAACAGCGGAGAGTAGGGTGGGTGAACTCAGAAAGGCGCCACCTGTTTTACTTCCCTGCTGCAGTCGAACGAAGCTACCGATCATAAATCAAAAACAGGAAATACTCAATCCTAATTGAAAGCACTGCAAAAACCTGAACGGGCATCACAAAATAAAATAAAATGAAAGCGCTTAAAATCCACTCTGGTGCATGATTTTTATTTGCCAAAAGAATTTATTGTTAAAGGCAGCAAACAGCTGATAAACACCAAAATTGAATTATTTATTTAATAACTTTGAGGTTCAGGCTTCAAATTCAAAAAAATAATAAACAAATCTATCGTTAAATTAATTAGGCTGTGACAGGGCCGTAGCTAGAGTCAAATTTGTGATAGGGCATGAAAAATTTGACATAGGGCATGCACTCCCCCCCCCCCCTTTAAAATTTTTATAGGTAAACAAAATAGGGATAATGGCGCCGAACGCAAATTTTTCGGGCGGCCAAATCTAAGGGCGGCCGCAGGCCGCCCTATAGTTCCGTCATTCAAGATTCAAGTGAAACTTTTTACGAATTTCCCAAAATAAAACTAGGTACTTCTAATAAAGAAATAAGCTGACCTTTAAAAATCTCCTGAAAATGAAAATAAACCCCGATCTCCTGATAACATAAATAGAAAGTTTAGTTCAGTCAATGTGTAGGCTCACGCATAATGTTTTAATTCTTTACACATCCATCATAAGATCGCATTGGTATATTACATGCGGAGATGGAAAGTGTTTCATTATTGTCGAGAGATACTATGGTTGACCGAGGTGCGAAGCGCCGAGGTCAACCAATTCTCGAGACAATATATGTGAAACCTTTCCACGGAAATATTAAGAAAGTACCAATTACGGGCTTTATGATACAAACAAAAGATTTCTTTATTGAAGAATTGAACATAAAAACAAAAGACTAATTTTAATACATTTTAACGATAAAAAGAAAACATTATTGAAACTCAAACTAAAATTTATCGAGAGCCCACATAAAATGGCACCCTTTCGTGAGTGTTTCTAGAAAAAGAGACCGGCGCCAAGGTCCCGAGGTCCCGTGCTTTGTCGTCTTCAATATATTTTTGATTATTGGGAGCGCGGCGTTGACATGTTTACGGATCAGAAATTAAAATTAGGTACACTTTTTTTAAAAGTTACAACAGTTCCAAACAAGTTTTTTTAACTCTAAACACCCAAAAACGTTCATTTTGAGGCTCGAAATGAACGATTTCGAAATTAACGATTTTGGGCGTGGCACCCAAAAAGCCACTGGCGCCTATAAAAGGGCTATATCTCTATGAGGCGGCGCGATTGCTCTTTGCACGCGGGCGGCCGATACCCTAGGATCGGCCCTGGCACTATCAAATCACATCTCTGGCAAGTAAACAAAATGGCCCGTTCAGGCAATAATTCTTGAGGGACCTCTTGTACTTGTCGTACTTGTGAAATAACTGTATAACTACCAACCACTCTACCAACTTACTCGATTTCAGGCCTATTCATTAGCTGTGGTCCAACCGACATGGGAACCGTTCCAGAACCAGTAATTTCCAATTGCCCACCTAATTTTCAATAAGTTGAACGTTTATCCTACTCGATAAATGAATTGATCAACTGGAAATTACCGATTCTCATGTCGGTTGGAACAGTACTTTCATCTACTTTTAAATTTCCTAGAGAAACCTCAACGCGTGTTGTGTTTTAAAGGTAGGGCATCATCATTTGAAAGATAGGGCATTGCCGCCCAATGCCCCCCACCCTGGCTACGGCCCTAGGCTGTGATCAAATTGGCAATAAATAGATCACATAATCAATAAGAAAAATTAAAAGAAGTAAGTACTACTTGTTTAAAGTACTTAGGTAGGGTAAATGGTATAACCTTAATATTCCAACCAAAAGGGTGGTATTTGTAAGTCAACGTAAAACAATGTGAACCCCTCAAAAAAAATACTTACAGTAGGCATAGTAGAAATATTTAATTATTAATCTACGTCGGTGTCATTATGACACATTTAGCATTGTCATTTGAATGCCATTAGGTTCTTCATAATAGCACTAGTGCGTTTAAGAATTCATAAAAACACCCAAATTATGAAATGAAAAATATACAAAAAGAAAGCTAGTTACCAGAAGAACCTTTTCATTGATGCTGTCTCGATATTCGAAAGGACACGAATCGAACTCAGAATCACGAATATTAACATTTTTTCCACTATAAAACTGAATTTATGGCACAAAAATTGACTTCAATATTGAAGCTGCCAAAGTCATAATTCTAAAAATCAACAAGCAGGTTCCCAGACTAGTACGGGTATACCTGCTAAATTTTGAATTTTAATTTGAAAAGTTTTTGCTATTTCTTGAAATAGCCTTGGCAAATCAAATCTATTTGGACCATCGTAGATTAAATTTTGAATGATACACATTCGATATGAACTTTTTTAATGAAACTTGTGTAACTAAACCACTCGGCTACCGCCTCGTGGTTTAACGTTACACGCGTTTCATTATGGTGTTCATATCGAACTAGTATCATTAATAACTATAATCTACGTCGGTGTCATTATGACATAATTAGCATTGTCATTTGAATGTCATTAGATCCTTCATAATAGCACTAGTGCGTTTAAGAATTCATAAAAACACCCAAATTATGAAATGAAAAATATACAAAAAGAAAGTTAGTTACTAGAAGAACCTTTTTATTGATGCTGTTTCGATATTCGAAGGGACACTTTCGAACTCAGAATCACCAATATTAACATTATTTTCCACTATAAAACTCAATTTATGGCACAAAAATTGACTCAAATATTGAAGCTGCCAAAGTCAAAATTTTAAAAATCTACAAACAGGTTCCCGATTCCCGACTAGTACGGGCATTTGCTAAATTTTGAATTTTAATTTGAAAAGTTTTTGCTATTTCAACGCAAATCAAATCTATTTGGACCATTGTAGAATACATTTTGAATGATACAAGTTCGATATGAATTTTATTAATGAAACTTGTGTAACAAAGGGCCGTATTCTCCGTAGTTCATAAAGCCTGGCTTAGTGGAAAAGCTCGGCTTTGTCACACAAAAAACATAGCGTTTCCACTAAGCCAGGCTTTATGAACTACGGAGAATATGGGGGTAAACCACTCGGCTAACGCCTCGTGGTTTAAAACGTTACACGCGTTTCATTATGGTGTTCATATCGAACTAAACTGCTGGAACTTCGATACGCATAAAGAAATTTTTTGCCTATTTTTGAAGTCAAATATGTCGGAAACTATAAGAGATATTTGATTGCGGTTTGAAGCATATTGGGGCGCATTATTTGATGTTCAAGATATATGGTATCGTACTGATATACAGTAACGTTATATTCAACATACAGGGTAGACAATAAAACAGTGCAAAGTTTGACAAATTTCAGGGTGTCGCCATTTCTTTTCAAACATACTCCTGCTTTTTTTCTGGGTTCAAGAAGAATCAGTAGTTCAATGGTAAAAAACAACTTGAAGGGTTTTTGAATAAATCTCGTAGTTTCGCAAAAATTTCAGTTCAACTGAAAAACGACTTTTATCACCCTGATTCTATGTCTCAGTTACTCAAAACAATTTTTTTGATTATTGTGGGTTCAACGTTTTCGTCTTTTTTGGTTTTGAGAAGATTTTATACAGGGTAAAAAAAAATAAGTTTTTATAACTCATTATTGGGAGGTCCGTAAAGATAATTGTATGTGGATAATTGGGCCTCAAAGTAACTAAAGATAGCACGCGTCGTAACACGTAACATGAACTGCGATTTATAGGGGGCACAGTTTTATTTGTTAATTGATATGGCACCAACTTTTTTTTTGCTTTATTGTATAACCATTCTGAGAGTTTGTTGTTTCCTAGGTAGAAAAGCTATTCTGTTCTCGAGACGTCGAGATATTTGGTGAATTATTAGCACGTACCATGTCATAAGGGGGCTACTTATATACAGGGGTGGTAAAAAGTACCGGAACCGTTGAATCTCTTTAAGCCCACTTATGCTGCTTTCCCAGATTTCATTATCTGGAGGTTTCTG